CTGCTCCGGTTTCTTTATCTGCGCTCTCACCGGGCAGCGAGGCAAGAGCTCTGTGCGCTTTGAGTGTGCGCGGTTCGCTTCGTAGGCGCCCTGCTGGTTCCTGGGACTTATGAAGCAACTGGATTGCGTCGCCTGAGCCATTTTTGGGAAATATTGTACAACAGGTTTGTCCAGTTTTCCTAGGTGGCAATTCAGTAAGCTTCTTGTACTTCGTTAATACATACAGAAGTGTTTTTCTCAAAAAATGCAATTTTTACAAAGTAGTTTTTACCTAGTGAACGTGGGAAGAGAGAGTGTGTGCACATGAAATGCACGTTTACATTTGGAAATTCAGTATTTATTTTCTTGTGGTTTTTTTTGTTTTTTTTTTTCCCCCGCTTTTTTATATTTGTCTTATTTTAGTATCTTTGTAAGTAAGTAGTGTTCACATACATTTAACAACATTTTAATATTAAATACTATTTTAGCTGTAGTGTGTGGTACCAATGGAATATAGTATGTGGACTTGCTCTCAAAGTGCTCCTGATGAAGACCTGCTTGCAAATTTGCAGTCATTACAGAATCAGCTGAGGAGAACTGAAAAAAACCTACAGACAGTAGAGGAAGAGCTTTCCAGGTATGAATGTGTTTGGGAATGAGATCAGCCTGTATCTTTTTAGTATAAATCTTGGTGCAAAGGATTATTGCCAAAAGCTCCTTTTGTGCTTTCTTTTTGAGAATTCTTTGGGAACCATTTGAAAATAGTAAAGAAAAACTGATGTAACAACTTTTTACTCTCCCTCCTAGCACTAGCACAAGTGAACATTATGGCCACTGCGTGGATGAGGTTGAAGACTTCATTCTGGAGGACCTCGTTCAGCTGAATTGCAACTACCAAGGCTTTTCCAACAGTATGAAGAATGCTGGTAAAACACCTTGCCAGGATTTTCAAAGAAAATCCCAAGTAAATATTGCATTTCATTACTTATTTTTCTTACTTTGGTTTTCTGTTCTTTTCTATGCTTATGAACTTTTTTTTGCGTTTAGGGCTTGAGGTTTATACGCTTTAGCATTGGGCAATTATATCAACGGAGCCCTCTTAAACGTAATATGGTTTAAATACTTTTGTTCTGCAGAGTTTCTATGGATGGATATAATGCTTACTTTTTCATATATCAATGTGTGTGTGTATACCTAAAAAAACTTCTTTTATGTTTAGCCTTACTCAGTGGCCACCACTTCTGATAAAACTGTGGAAGAAAACGAATGTCTTAAGGAGCAGCTGAATGCCCTTTGTGAGCAAAATGCATCTTTGACTTCTCAAAACCACTACCTAAAGAACAGAGTGGAAATGATGAACTTTGAATTGGTGCAGTCAAAAACAAGAGTATGTATATCTGTAGTGTACTCATCAGAAAGAAAACTACCCCCTGTATCAAGAAACTACTCAAATGACCATGACTTTTGATTCTGTAATTCCAAGCAGAACGTGCTATTTTTTTGGCCCTGTCTTAATCTATCTAAATTTAATATTTAATATTCAGTTCTTTCATAATATTCAGCATTAATATTGGAGCAGAATAGTGTGGAGTCTGTTTCTTTATGAGCAAAACAATTATACTGATGTTTGAAAGAATGAAGAAAACATTATTTAAGAAAAGAATTCTACAATGTATTTAGTACTGTATGCTCACATATGTGAGCTACGCTAAGGTTAATGTTAGTAATAATGGTACAGTAGCCATTTGTCCAGGAAACTAAAAAAGTTGACCTTTCAAGTTGGATTAATATTGCTATTTTTAAAACATGAAGGTCAGTTAGAAAGAAATATTGTATTTGTTAAATCATCACTGGTTTAATATGTGCTTGTATGTACAGTTTTTTTCAGGACAGCTGTATTATTTGGTGTATATGTAACATGAATAAAACATAGCTATGCTTAATGTGTTTAGGTTTAGAAATATTATCTCTAAGACACTATAAATAAGTAGATAACTAAAATGTTTGACTGTCTGGCATGGAAATAACAAACAGTGGGCTATATAACTTTGAGGAAAAGCAAGAGACAAGGTCAACATATGCTGCCTAGCAGAGTGATTTCTTTATATCACCCTGGAGTGGTGCCAGGGAACTGGGAGGGTGTTAAATGCACAGAAAATTGCAGGTCAGTTTGTGTAGATGAAAAAGCATCTTCTACAGTAAGTTTAAGAGCACTGTGGCATTCAATAAGCAGATTATTCTTGTATGTCTCACCTGAAGATATATATGCAAGTGTTAATGAAACTTCAAATTGTTTGTATTTCAGATTTCTTACCTTGAATCGACTTTGGGTGTAGGTTTAGACAGTATTCCAAAGTTGAAAGAACAGATTGTAAACTTGGAAGCAGAAGTTTCAGCTCAAGGCAAAATTCTGAGGTAGTAAGTATACTTTTACATCAACGTTGTATTTTCTTCTGCTTGCTAATCCAATCTCTTTTTTGGGATGACGTGATTACTGGTACTGGGTGGGTAAAGTCATCTGGGGCTTGAAGCTTTCATTTTGGAGCCTTATATTGGAGGAGGGAGGTGTTTTATTTTTTTTACTGGATGTATTTCCAAGAAAAGGAGAAAAAATAATAAGGACTATTATAAGTGGTACATAATGTACACTAAACATGAATGTGCCCTTGTAACCGGCTAGAGTGATTGTAGGCTACATGACTGTGTCTTCTGTAGTGAACAAGCATACATAGTTTCAAATGTGATTGTGCAGCATAAAGGATTCTTTCTTCATGGATATATTAATCAAGGCAAATGGCCAAATAAAGTCAATGTAAAGACTGTCCGGTGGCTGACAGGAAGACTTACTTGGCTGCTGGTTTATCTTACAGCCTCATGCTCTGTAATACACAATTAATATCTCAATAATCTGTTGTTACAAAAGAAATAAAAATAATTTATATTTTAGTGTTTCCCACATGTGTATCCTTACCAGTAATACATATTGACAGAAAAATGGTGACTTCTGTGTTCAGTTCTCATGACACAAAGTAGGACATCTGCATGCTTGTCAGTCCTGATGCCTGTTGGTGAGGTTTGGACACCACTCCAGGTTGGGCAGTCTGGAGATTATGGTTGTTCCAAACCCAGTTTCAAGAGCTGCAGCATGTTTGACTAGCGCTTCTCAAACATTGTGTGAGGAAGAGAAAACCAAAAACCTAGTCTCCTTAGAAAAAAATTTCTATTTATCTATTATGCTTTGTGTATTTGCTAGAGATGCAGAAAATGAACTAGATCAAAGCCAGAAGATGGGCATGGAAAGAGAAAACATGTTGCAAAGATATAAAAAGGACTATAAAAATATGAAGATGGAGTTAATTGAACAAACAAAGCAAGGAAAAAGGTAAATAATTTTAATAAATTGAATGCAGAGTAGGAGTACGGAGTGAAGTCATCATCCCTGGAGGTGTTCAAGAAACAGGTGGATGTAGCACTTGAGGCTATGGTCTAATGGTTAGGGAAATGTTGGGAGGAAGGTTGGACTTGATGATCCTGGAGATCCTTTCCAGCCATGGTGATTCTGTGATTCTAAGAGTAAGTAACTTTATTTCCATTGGGTTTACTTTGTGGAATCAAATTATTTCTCTGCTTTAAAGATGACAGCATACACTAGGAACTAGTTTATCACCTTTTTTTTTCCTTTCAGAATAGATGTACCACAGTGGAGAGCTGAAATGTGTCCAGAATATATTTTCCTGAATTGTGTTTGACTTTGTCTTGCACGCTCAATACTCAGTATTCAGCAGTACTGAGTGCTGTATTTTTCAGATTGATGTGAGGAGAGTGACAGAAGCCCAACTTAATTGAATAAAGATTTTTATGTTAATCTTGCCTGTTTATATGTTACTGTTAAAAACGGTGCTGTAATTCCATTCCAAGTGCCATTTCCTTTTTCTGTGGCCTCATTTAGTGTAGTGGCTGTGTGGCTGCTGGGAGGGTTAGGTAATTTCTGTTGACTGTTGGAAGTTATCTCATACAATCCTACCCCTTCCAAAATGTAAATGTAAATAAATAAGAGGAATAAATAAAAATATTCCTAGGTGCCCAATTGATTTAACTGGATTATCTGGGGAAAAAGATGACTGAATTAATGACTTAAGAAAGCATTTCTTGAGCCTTTTGAAGGCAAACCATTTGTTTGGCTTATCTGTCTACGCATATAATTGTCTGTAACCTTCCTATAACTAGGCAAAGGGCAATACTGTGGGACTTGTGCTAGTCTTGAAAGAATGTGTTGATTTATGTTCACTACTCATTCGGAGCATGTGGGGCTGGAACTAGTAGTGAATTACTAGCTGTAAATGTAGATTTTTTTCAGAACTTTATTAAAACTGAGCTCCTGCCAGATGTTAGGCAACATATGGTGTTATGGTTACCATTAACGCTTATTGCAGTTTGCTTTTAATTGGTGATTACAATCACTTACTGTTCTTTGGCCAAGCAAACTGAAGTGCTTCAGACTAACACTGTTTTGTTTGTTATTCTGAAATCCCTTTCTCCCTTTTTCTGAATACTTCTGCCATCTCCAAAGAGAAAAGTTCCTCGGACTGAGAAATGGTGATTTGAGGGTAGGCTGCACTTAGATGAGGCACTTGCCCTGTTCCCACAGTTCCCTTAGTGGAAAAGGAGCAAATACTGCTGAGCAGCACTAATTATTTTGTGTCTGTGTTGGGTGCCCTGAGCAGACTGTGTGCCTGAGCTGTCCTGAGGTTACTGATCCAGCTTCTTCCCTAGGGAGCAACGACAAGGGAAAGTAAGAAAAGGGCAGGAGTGCAGAGTAGGAGCACGAAACAGTAGGTAGTCTAGGTTGCTGCTTTGAACAGTTGCTTATCTGTTATCTCCCCTGTGTCAACTTCCTTTACTATTATTGTTGCCATCTCTCTGGTATCCTCCAAATAATTTATCCTTTGATTAGTTCCTGTCAGTTTCATGTTAATATGGAAAAATTACATGAGGCATATATTAATTTCAAATAGAAAACTTTTTATCTAGGGTTTGGAAAGCTGGAAGAAGAAAAGAAGTTGCATGGAACAATTAATTTAGTGGTTGTTTTTAGTAACTGGGGGAGATGGTTAGATAATGACTGAATTTTGTGGTTTTTAAAAGTGGTATGCTTCTTTGCAGAGCAGAACAGCAAAGAAATGAAGCTTTGTTGAATGCAGAGGAGCTGACAAGAGCTTTCAAGAAATATAAAGAGAAAATGACTGAAAAACTACAAAGGGTAAGAGTTTTTTCTTCACTTGTCTTTGCCAAGCTATTAGGGTTTTTCTTCTTCCAGTAAGCTAGGTAGCAAACGACAATGGGTTCACCAGTTGGTCAGTTGTTTCTGTTGCCAAAGTCATAAGAGAGGTGGGATAGGGTAAGCAGCTGTTTGTGCTGCTAACTTCAGTTATCCAGTTCTAAACTGTCTTTGCCTAGTTTGGACAGTATGCATCTTTGAGGTATCATAATACTGCTGCTCTTTCTTCTCTCTTGCTCGCCAGATGGGAATTTTAAAAGTATGTGATCCTTTTAAAAGAACCCTTTTGAATGCATCTGTGTAACCTGTTCAATTAAACATGAGCTAGAGAAGAGCTGAGAGGAAAATGAAGCCATCTCCCAAAGTTCCAGTGGTCGAAGTTGTTAATGCTTCCTGCCTTGTGAGAGGAGAAAATACAGGCCTAAGGCAGCTCTTAGGGAGTTTGATTAGACTGACTTCCATGTGGAAGGAGATTGCCAACCACAAAAATGCCCTGAAATGTTAAACCACAGCAACATTACTTTTTTCCCAAATGACAGAAAGAAAGAAATCTTTGCCCCTCTTCTTTTCTTCACAACAGTAACAAAATTATCTACATGTCACCAAAATCAGCAATGAAACTCTTTAGCACTTGATAGGTATTAAGGAGCAGGCATTATTTTATTTGGCCAGGGCTATGGGGGATCTCTCCACCTAGCATGTCTGCTGTACATTGCATCAGCTAGAGCAGATACTGTTCTGCATATGCATTAGATTTCAGTAATGTAAAAAATTGCTCTTTTAGGTTAAAGCTGAAGTAGTCATCTTGGGAAAACGTCTCATTAGTTGTGAAAAAGAAAAAGAGAAGTTGAATGAAGACTGTATCAGCTACAGAAAGGATCTAGATGTCCTGGAAGCGCAATTAAGGTAACACAAAGGCTTTTGCAAATCTGTGTACAGTTATTTGAGAAGAAAATGCTTGTTACAGTTGTCACTGTGAACATACTGCTCAGCTCACATAGTTCAAATCAGGACCAGCATCAGTGAGCACTTAGGATCAGTACCAGCAATCCATAATACATAATAATGTAAACAGGTGAAAAAATCTTGACATACACTTAATTTCAAAATTCTTTTCTATGACTAATCGTTAAAGGTTTAATTCCACATGCCACTACATATTCACAGGAACAAGCAACACCCTACAAAGACTTCTGGGTGCATAGGTTCCCTTGCTTGCACACTGCTTCTTTGGGAGATGTGGGTTCTCTGGCTTAATCTATACCTGTTCTGCTGCCTGTGGTCTGCTGTGGCAATGAGAAAGCACCTCTGGTCACTTTTGGGAGTGCTAAGCCTGGTTTTGATTGGTCTGTTCCCACTGTCACAAATCTTTATGCTCCTTGTATGTTTCTTTTCAAGCCGAACCCTCCTTTGTTTTGGGAGTATTTCGGTAATTTCCTTATTACTTTACTTAAGGAAGACAACCATCAGCATGTCTCTAGTGTTATTAGATCTGGGCAAACAGTTTTAGGTCTCCCCTTCATGTTCCTGTCTTACCTTCCTTTCTTAATAATTGTTCCTTAGGCCATTTTGGCAAGGGTGGGCAGCATGTGGGCACCCTTATGCTGGCCTGAGCCTGTTTAATGGCTCATAAATAAGTTGTGAAAGACGAAAAATACAACAGGCTCACTGGACAGTCAAATATGAGGGGAGAGAAGAAATAAAACCCTCCCTCTTGTTAGCAGCAGAATGCTAGACTAGCTCAGTTTCAGTACATTATCTTCATCCATTGTGATCATAGGTATCATTGTGTAGTTATTTTATCCTGTTTTTAAATTTCCTTAGCTTCAGCACAATTAAAGTCACCTTGATATTTTTCCTACCAGTGACTCTCTTGATAGTGATTAGAACTTAGAATTAGAAGTTGCTTAAGAATGAGAAGTAGTTTATTCTCTTTTTGTTTGCTGATAGCAGCTTGCATCTTCGTCCTTAGGAACGGTGAATGCCTAGTCAAGCAGTGAAAACTTTTCTGTCTTTTTTGTAGAGCTAATCCTAGATTTTTGAAAGGGAGGAAACTAGTAAAGCTATAGTTCTGGCATGTTCTAGTTACTTTAGTAATGAAAATCCTCTGTGTTGAGCTATACTTTTTAAATGGATATACTTTTTTAGGCAACTAAAGGAAGAGAATCATAGCACAAAAGAAGAAATTAAGACTCTAGAGGCAAAGAACACTGAAATGTTCTCAATGCTGACTCGTTCTGATCAAAAGATCATTGAGCTTGAGAATGAACTTAGTGAAAAGCAAACGGTACTTCAAGAGAAAAATGCTGTCATAGGTGAAAATGCAGAGCTGAGAGCACTTACTACACAGCAACAAAACTGCTTGAAATTATGCCACCAAGAAATTGAAGACTCAAGGGAAGAGCTCCACATACTCGAAACTATTATTTCCCAACTGTCTCTAAGCACACCAGAAGAGGTACAGTAACTGATACATCCTTAAAAATTGTATTATGTTTCTACAGCAGCTGCCATTGCATGGAAGCGCTGTGATGTTCTTGAGAAATAACCCAAGTAAAAACATCTTTGGTTTTCAAGATGCATGGATGACATGTGTTCTGCCAATGACCAGGCCCAACAAAAATTATAGCACCAGAAGGAAGATGAACCAATACACAGACTGTATTGTAGACAAGAAGGACATTCCATGAATGATCACTGAGGGTACAAACAGATCAATCAGCTGGTACATAAACAACACCATCCCCAACGATCCCACAAAAGATGTGACTCGGGCCCACAACAGGTGGTACAAACAGAGACCCGAGGTTGCCCACAGTTGGCATAGGAAACAGCCAGACCAGCAGGCTAAGCACATAAGAGAAAGGTGCCCACATAGTGACTCTCACCCGATTGGCCCACATTCACAAAGGTCTTAAGCAGACTAGGGAGAGTCAGCTCCAGGTAGAGTCAGGAGGTCTTCCCTGAGTAAGGAAGCTCTGTGGAGTGCACTCCACAGAGCAGACACTCCTGACTCCCTGCAAGTGGTCCCAGCTTTTATCCCCAAGCAGACACCTGACCTTTGTCAACTCAATGTGGGACCCCTGGGGCTCATTTCCCTTATGGCTCTCCCTGCAGGGCCGGCTGCACCCTGGGGGGAAGCTATAAGGCAAACTCACCACCTCTTTATGAAGGGCTGTGGCAATCACCCATATGTCAACCTTAATTCGGGGCTCGGGGTTCAAACCCCAGCATTTCAGACATGTTTTCATAATTTAAATATTTTACCTTTGTTTTCTCGTTCAAGAAAAAAAGCATAGATGCTTTGGAGTTAATTCATTTGCAAGTGTTTAAAATTACACTTTGTTCCTCTGTTCTGTGTATTGATTCTTCAGATCCATGTATATTCTCTAAACCCTGATGATGTCCTGCTACATGATGCAGAGATTCTTCTCAGTAGAACAGTGTGATATTTCCCAGATGGCAGGCATATTGTGTCACACAGCCAGAGCTGACGTGTCAGCCTCAGCAATGGAGAAATTAGAGCAGGAGAGATGTTTGTAGGATCCCTTTTTTTTTTTTTTTTTTTTTTCTGGGAAGGGGAAGGCACACCTTCCCTGGCTGTGGGTGAACCTTTGCTTTACCACAATGAACTCTGGCTTATGAGCCTGAAGCTTGTACTGGTGAAGTTTATCGCTAAACTGGCTGTGATTGGGACAGTCATGGAAAAAACCTAAAGCTGTGAAGAGACCTGAGGTTCCTGGAGGAACTGTTTGGGAAGTCAGGAAGAGCTAGAGAGACATATGACGTCAGGTGCACAGATTGCATCAGATACTCTTATTTCTGAAGCATAAATGTGAGTAGCTGTAATGAAAACAAAATCAAAAGAATACTTCCTGTATGATTTTGGAATGGTCAGAGTGACGTCTGCTGAAGAAAGAGTTAGTAATTTTGTATAAAAAATGACGTTTTGGGCTCTTGTGACCATATAAATTTATTTGGAAGAGCCTTAAAAATTGTTGTAGGGCACTTTTTAGCAAACATGTTTACATTTTCTGGAAAAAAAAATGGGTTCATTTTACTAATTTAATGAAATATGCAGAAACTCTCTGTAACTTGAGGAAAAAATATTAAATGCAGTCATGAAAATCTGAAGGGAAGCATGATGTGTAAAGCTCAAAACATGGAATTACTGATAGTATCTCAGTTTATTTAATTTTTCACAGCAAAAATGTTCATATTTCAGTACTTGCACAAAGATACCTAAAGGAATGTTCTCAGTTTTGGAGGGCCTTAATGACTATAATTTCTTCTCGTGGGACAAACCTGCAGTCCTCTGCAAGTGCCTAATTAGAATAATTTTAATGATAAAGTTATCCAGACTTCTAACATCCTGGCATGTGTCTTAACATTTATATGCTAGTATAACATGTGACTTAATCATTCTGTGAAGCAGTAAGGAGTTGATTTTGCATTGAGCTTGGTTTTCCCTTAATTTTTAGTTTAAATGGCACCATGTGAAACGCCAGCTAGCCAGTTCCTCAACAAAAGAAGTTCTTTCTGAATCCTGTGAATTGATTAAACCTTTGACTGCAGACCTAAGGTATAACTTTCTGGTTATTGAATTATGGCAAGAATAGGCAGATAACAAGGTGGTGTTTGAGCTAGCACATGGAAAGGATGCTAAATAATTTTCTTTTCCTTTATAATAGCACTAAACTGGCAATGAAAGAAGCAGAAGTTCAAAAGCCTTGTGCGAACTTAACTCTCTGTACTGGAGCTAAGCACCTTTCTAATGATCATGAAGACCAAGAAAATTGCAGGTTTTGTGACCTGGAAACAGAACCTGTCAAATTGGTCAGAAGTGAAGGAGGTAAGGTTGCTGAAATAGCTGTGCAGTTGTGTCTGATTAGTCCACAGAACAGGAATTTTTGATAGGGTTAAATTGCTTTTTAAATCTTTCTGAGCTAATGTATATGGTTTGGTTGAACAGGGAGCATTTTGCTACCTTGGAATTTTGGAAATTGTCATGTTCTCCAGGCACAGTGTTGTTCTTGCTTTTGCTAGCCAAGTTACTTGTTCAGCAATATTCAAGCTGTGGCTTGTGTTGAAATAGAACCATGTATTTTTTCCTTGATGCAGATTATGGAGAAGTGTTCATATTTTTTTTGAATCTTTTCTCTTTATCCTGCTGTTGCAGAATTTCTGCAGTTGCTTTTGTGATAACTGTTGGGACTACTCCATGAAATGTCTTCAGGGCACCTATATAATGTTGCTGTCCTCAATTTTTTTTCTTTTTGTTTGTTAGGGAGTTTTTAGTTTGTGACGGGAGGGGGCTTTCTTTGTCTTCATGAGTCACAGCTTTCAGTTACATTACGGCAAAGAAATAAACAGCCTTTTTTTATGAATACTGTATGTGTTAGTTCACTATGCTGTCAAATCATATTTCTCCTCTCTTTGGTTTGTGTATTTATTTGCTTGAGTGCTGGTTTTTGTGTTCTTTTAGAAAATAATCTTACCTTTCTTTTTTTTTTTTTTTTCCTACTTTGAGAGAGGAGAAGATGTCAGCAGTTGGAACTTATAAGCAAACAATTTGAAAAGGAGAGGCGAAGATACCATAAAGAGATAAAAGAGTTACAAACTAAATTGACAAAAGCAGATGATGAGAATTCTTCTTTGAAGACCAGCATGGCTCAGAGAGCCAGCCAGTTTCAAATCATACAGGAAGACCTATTGAAGAAGGCTTCAAAAAGTAGTAGCTTAGAGAGAGAAGTAAGTTTTTTAGCAGCACTGAAAAAACTTTTTTTGTCACTTTTTGTTTAGTTCAGTAATCAAAGATAGTTAAGACAATACCTATGGAAAAAATGCAGTTACCATATTAATTTTAAAATCTGACTTATTTAAGAAGAATTGGAAACAAATTTTTGAGTGAGTAGAAAAAGATATCAGCCTTAATTTGTTTGTTGTTAGAAATCTCATTTTAAAGCTGATGTATTTACTACTACTGTTTTGGTTTATGTGGAACATATGCAGAGTCTTGTTGCTTTGGTATGGTTCAATTAATGTGTAATCTTAAGAAATAGATATTGAAGGAACAGCTGTATTTTTCCTTGTTAAATGTTAGTGCAGTTGCTAGAGATTAACATCGTGACAAGAGAATCCCAAAAGAAAGAAATAAAACTTCAGCTAGCCCTTTTCTGGTTGTATAAGTTAAAATGCTAACGTTTACATTCTGGTGCTAATGTGTTTACAGAATGACATTGTAATGGGATTTGCAGTACTTCCTAATAATGTCCTTAAATGTTATAAATCTGTAATAGCTAATTCACTTACATGGCATTGATAGTTATCATTAATTAGATAAATTTCACGTGAATTGTCTTGAAGTCTTCTCTGTAAGAAAGTTTAATAGATCATACAAAAATAAACAAATGAATAATTAAATAAGAATACCAGGGAGTAAATTGTAGCAGCTAAAAATAGGATCGGTAGTAAGGAAGCATATACAAATGCTTGAATAAACTCAAACCACTTGTCTTCATCCTGTTTTGTGCCATATTTAATTTCAGATAACAAAGAAATCTTCTCAACTTTCTGCACTTGAGGAACAGTTGGAAGAAAAGACTATTGCTTATTCCACTGCTGCAGCGAGAAATACTGAGTTGGAACAGGAACTCATGGTAAAATGTTTTCAGTGAGAAACTACATTTATGTAAAAAGATATAAATGGAGATGAAAGCTTAAATTAAAACACTACTATTCTACATATTCAAAATAGATAGACTTTCAGACCTGCTAAACAGTCTGTGCAGTTTTAAAAACCTGAATCTTGCTTGGAATAAAACATGACTTCTTTCCTGCTTTTGAAATTGGTAAGTTATTAATGGACATGCTACTTTTTCCTCCTGATTTTTCACATGCAGTGAAAAATCTGGTTCCATTGAAATCAATTGTAACATTGCCATTTATTTCAGTGAAATACATAGAAGTCTTTGAAATGGTTATAAGTGAAAAAGGTGATCTAACACTTGGAGCACTGTAAATTCCAGACTGGACATTGTGTTGTGGTTTGAGGCTTGGAATGGGGGCGTGACCTTCCAGCAACCATTGTATTCCCTCCCCTTCCCACACACACTCTGATAAGAGGCAGGGAGTGGTTTCTAATTTCACTCCTGGCTTGGAGCTCGGAGAGGAAATTTCTCCTTTCACTCCGTGGGACCCTAGAACCATTTCTGAGGGTTTTGTATATTTTATTGTTTGTATATATTATTTTCCTTACCTCCCTTTTTCGTTTTCTGTTC